AAAATCTTCAAAGAAGCCTAAAACTTGAGGGAAATAAAGCACAAGTAAGACATAATTCTGAGGGAGGCTTGGAGATAGACAGTGTGTTTAACTATATCCTTGAAAAATGACATTATTGGACATAAGTGATCACTAAATGATTACTATCAGTACTGATCTTGATCAGCTAAAGATCATCAGTTTTTTAGTGCTCAGATACTCCAGAACTTTCCAGCCTATCAAAATGGGTCAATCTTTTTCTTTTCAATACTGTTCTATTGAAGAAATGTAGTGGAGTAGGTGGGTATCCTAAATTAGATGTAGAATCTAGGTCCCAAGGGCAGTGGGCACATCTAGACTACCTGGGGCAGTGAGTATGGACATGAGGGCATCTGGAGCAACAGGAAGTAGGGTGAGTGGCTTGGTGGTTACTGGTAGTTTTGCACAGCACTCAAACTTCTTCTTTCCAGCAGCTCCCCTAGGTGGTTGCTTGGTGTCTCATTGCTCCCCTCTCAGAATATGTGTTTGGGGAAACTCCAGCCCAAGATGCAGGGTGGAACATGAAGCATGGCTGACTGAGTCAGGCAACACATGGCACTGCCTGATCACAGTCACAGGCTTTAAAACTAGCACACAGTCCTACTGGACTTATTAGACCCATTGGTAACCAAATGTTAACCCTATTCATTTTCTCCAATTTAATGGACTGTAGGAAAGTTGGGCCCAAGGCAGACTGCCTTCTCCCTAAATCAGGCTAGGGGTGTGTGCAAAGTTTGGGAGCTGTCCTGGCCCCAGGAAAGGGACACTCCTTTGAAAATAGGGCCAATAGCAGGGAGGCAGAGTTGAGAGGTAGGCAGAGAAATTGGGTCCTTGACTTGGTTATCTAAGGGGTGGATCAAGTCATATTTAAAATCAGTCTCACTACTGGACTTCTCTTCAGTTAGTTCTAAAACCAGTTTGGGTTGCATTTTCAGTCACTGAGCAACAAAACACTTCAGATAAGCAGCAACCCAAATCCAGAGGCTCTACTTAATGTAAGTTTTAGAGGGTTGGGGGCAGCATGTGGGTTTGTGACTATTACTTTTCCAGATCGCTGCTGCATCAGTGAGCCAGACCCTGGCAAATCTCTTGCCCAGTTCTGTGAGCCTTACCCAAATTTTATGGTCCAGAATCTTTGGGAATATGGCCCAGGAATCAGTGTTTTAAAAAAAATCCCTCAGGAGATTATTAACTCCTAATAACTAGATTTGGAAAATGTTGGCTCTGTGAGATAAAAATATCAGGCCACCACTGCCATAAGGAAGCCATAACATAATAGAAAACCTGGCCACAACTTGCCTTGCTTCATGTTTCTCATCAATACAAAACAGCTGAATACAAAAAGCAGCTGATGCTCCCCTGTAGGTGGGGTGGAAAATGCCGGGCTCCTCTTCTAGTAAGACAGATGTTGAACTCTTGCTGTAGATCTCATATTCTACCTCCTCAGCAATGGAAATTTCACTGGGTCTTTCTATGTCCTAGAGCAAGGAGAGATGAAGAATCAAATGGTTGTTGTTGTTGTTGTTATGTGCCGTCGAGTCAGCCCCGACTCATAGCGACCCCTCCTTGGGTTTCCAAGGCAGTATCACTACGGAAGTAGGATTGCCCAACCTTCCTTCCGAGGAGTGGCTGGTGGGTTTGAACCGTCAGCCTTCTGGTTAGCAGGCAAGTGACTTAGCCACTATGCTACCAGAGCTCCCGAATCAAATGGTAACCTTATTCATTTCCTCCAGTTGAATGGACTGTAGGTTTCATCATGCCTACATTACATCAAAACAGGTATGAATGTCTCACCTGGATGAACCCATCCTGAATAGGCATAATTAAGTTAGAGGGAAATTATTCATTCTGAGATACTGCCCCTCAGCCTGAATCTGTACTAGGAGGGAGCAGTTCCTGGGACTTGAAATGTACACAAATGAAATATGATACTTCAAAGGTACGTATATGAGCATATGAGTGTGAACATGTGTGGTGGTTATGTTTTTTTGTAACCTGGCTAGGCCCAGTTGAGTGGCTGGGCAGCTGGATGTAGTATCCCCCATGACGAGATTGGTAATTAACTCCATGGTGGAATCTACTGTAAGCAGCTGAGTAGCTGCCTTTGGGTATGTGGTCTTCTTCCTGCATATAAGCAGCAGCTTTGGGAATGGTCTCTAGTTTACAGCATGCTTGGACCCTGCATGCAGTTGTGTCATTATTCAGCAGCCTACCATGTTCTGCCGACCTTGGGACTTACAATGGACTTGAGTTAATGGCCTGCCATGTGGTTTGGTAACATCAGGACTGTGCCTTCTTACTTGTCAACCTTGGGCTTGGCAGCCTCAGCAGCCAGCAGCTGGCTGAGTGAAGAAAAGCCTCTAGCATCAGTGGGCCGAGAGCTGGAGGCAGAGCTGAAGCCCAAGTCTGAGGGGCTTTCACCCAGCCCCTAGAGTCTGGCACTTTAAACTTGGACTTAAAGCCTCCAAATTGTAAGAATAAACTCCTGTTTGTTAAGGTCATCCCATTTGTAGTATATTCTTGTCAGAGCAGCACTAGGTAACCACAACAAGATGACATACACACTTGGGGAAATCTGCACATTTTCTTCCTCCAAAATGTTTTTCTCTTTGGGTAACAGGACACAGAGAGAAAACTGTACTTACTAAATTTGTTGCAAATAATTGATGTAGAAAACATCACTTTAGGTTTAAGTTCTTGTGATAGTTGTGTGTCAACTTGCCTGGACCAAAAATCTGAGTGGTTTAAGCAGTTGTGATGTGGGTTATTCCCATGATGAGATCAGATATATATGTTTTGAGCATATATATCAAAAGGGAGTTTCCCTGGGGGTGTGGCCTGCTCCCAATATATTTACGGACATCCTGGGAAAATAGATCCACTCTTCTGTGGATTGGGATCTTGTTGTGCTGCCTACAACTATCTGTGAGCAAACAATCCACCATTTGGCCTGGTGATCTTGGATTCATCATTCGTTGGAGTCAACAGCCATTATACTGCCTGCCAATCTTGAGCTCATCAGCCCCTACAGCTGTGTGAGCCAGGAAAAGCCTCCAGTTTGATGTTTGATCCAAGAACTTAGGACTTGGCAGCTTCTATAAGTGTGTGAGCCATTTTCCTAAGATAAATTTCTCTGTCTCTGTCTGTCTGTCTCTCTCTCTAAGCTTTACTGGTTTTGCTTCTCTGGAGAGCCCAGCCTAACACATTTGGCACTGTGAGTCATTCTGTTTTAATGCTAGACAAAATGGTAAAAGAGTGAGATGAGTTCAGGGCTGCTTAGTTACAGCTCAAGCGCTTCATAAAAGACATCCTGTTTCCAGTTGTAGTCTGGAAAAGAAGCCTTATGTCTTCTAGTAACAGAGCTGATATTGCTGAAAGCCAAACCCAGAGTCTTACCGTAAGGGTGGCTGAATTAACACCAATTAAATTGCCAACCCAGAATGGTGTCTGAAGTTAAAGTGAGGGCATTGAATGGGAAAAACTGGGATCCTGAAACCTGGATTGGGGACATATGGGCAGACAGTCAGGAAGATGAGGATATGGAGCCTGTAAATTCTGTTGAATCCCTCCCATCTGAAGGGATTACTATAAAACCATTATCTTTTCCACCTCTGTTCGATGGGATTAACCCAACTGTTTCTGCTGGGTCATTGCCTGAGGTAGATGCTATGGAAGACATTGCTGAATGTTCTTAGGAACTGCCCCAACCACTCATTGTTGCTGCTAGACCTATAACTAAAGTTAAGTCCAAGGGAGCCCCAAAAGGTGAAATACAAAGTGTGACTGAGGAGGTGGTGTGCTACACCCGAAAAGACCTACTTGATTTTCAGAACATGTACAGACAGAAACCTAGAGAATATGTATGGGAATGGCTACTGAGGGTGTGGGATAATGGTGCAAGGAATGCAACATTGGATCAGTATAAGTTTATTGATTTAGACCCCCTAAGTATGGATTCTTCATTCAGTGTTTCAGCTCCAGAGGTTAGGAAAGGATCTAACTGTTCATTTGGTTGGCTTACTGCAGCATAGATAATGTGGCAGCCTACCTTAAGTCAAGTTGAAGTACCAGACTTGCCTTCATATAATGTAGAAGAAGGTACCCAGAGGATTAGGGGAATTGGCCTGTTAGAATGGATTTATCAGATTACACCTCTAGAGCCAGAAATGGAGAGCCCAGAGGACACAGAAGAGAGCACCAGCATCCTTGAAGACTGCTGTGATTGCTATTTTATGTAAGCCTGGTTTGACAGTGGGAACTGCCCTAATTGATCTAAGACACTTAACTACAATGGGGCTGATTGGACCCCGTGGTAGAAGGGACAAGTAGCAGCAATTAATCAACAAAGACAAGGTGGGCATGGTTACCATAATGGAAAGTAGACTCAAAACAGTAATCCAAATACTCTGACTCATGTGGAATTATGGCATTGGTTACTTAGGCACGGTGTTCCTAGGAGTGAAATATATGACAAACCTACTAAATATTTAATTGATCTGTATCGACAGAAGAAGCTCTGGTGGCCTAGTGCCTAAGGCATTAGATTGCTAACCAGAAGGCTGGCAGTTCAAACCCACCAGCCACTCCTCGGAAGGAAGGTTGGGCAATCTACTTCTGTAGTGATACTGCCTCAGAAACCCAAGGAGGGGTCATTATGAGTCAGATCTGACTCAATGGCAGTGTGTTAGTGTAAGTAAGTATAGACAGAAGAATTCTAGGTCACATGAACAGCAGTCTAGATTGGATCACCCGAATACAGAGTCATGGCCTCTCAATCAATTCCCAAACTTGAGTTAGTTTATAGACCCACAACTCCTTGAATGAAGGGAAGGGCAGATCCCCTTGAGGAAGGACCCCACTACACTGCCAAAAATCTATAATGTCAATATTTCTCCAGCCTTCCCCAAAGGGATCTGAGGCCTTTTACAAGAGTGACTGTTCACTGGGGAAAAGGAAATAATCAGACAGACTTTTTGGGGATTACTGAACACTGACTCTGAACAGACATGAATTCCAGGAGACCTAAAGCATCATTGTGGCTGACCAGTCAGAGTGGGGCACATGGAGGTCATGTTATTGATGCAGTCTTAGCTCAGGTACATCTCACAGTGGATCCAGTGGGTCCCCAAACCCATCCTGTAGTGATTTCCCTAATTCCAGAATGCATAATTAGAATAGATATAGCAATTTGCAGAATTTCCACATTGGGTCCCTGACATTTGGAGTAAGGGCTATAATGGTAGGAAAAGCCAAGTGGAAGCCATTAGAACTGCCTCTACCTAGAAAAACCATAAACCAAAAGCAATACCGCATCCCCAGAGGGGTTGAAGAGATTACTGCCACCATCAAGAACTTGAGGGATACAGGGGTGGTGAATCTCACCTCATCCCCATTTAATTCACCTATTTGGCCTGTGCCAAAAACGGATGGATCTTGGAGAATGACAGTAGATTATTGTAAACTTAATCAGGTGGTGACTCCCATTGCAGCTGCTGTTCCTGATGTGGTTTCATTGCTTGATCAAACTAGTATATCTCCTGGTACTTGGTATGCAGCTATTGATCTTGCCAATGCCTTTTTGTCAATACCAATTTCAAAGGACCATCAGAAGCAGTTTGCCTTCAGCTGGCAAGGCCAACAATATACTTTCACAATGCTTCCTCAGGGGTATATCAACTCTCCAGCACTATGTCATAATTTAGTCCATAGGGATCTTGATCACCTTACCCTTTCACAAGATATCAGACTGGTCTATTATATTGATGACATTATGCTGATTGGACCTAGTAGGGAAGAAGTATCAATGACTCTAGCCTTATTGGTGAGACACCTGCATGCTAGGTGGTGGAAAATTAACCCAGCAAAAAATCAAGCACCTTCCACCTCAGTGAAATTTCTAGAGGTCCAGTGGTGTGGGGCATGTCAAGATAGTCCTACTAAAATGAAGAATAAGTTACTGTATCTGCTTATACCACAACTAAAAAGGAGGCACAATATCTGGTGGGCCTCTTTGGACTGTGGAAGCAATATATCCCTCATTTGGATGTGTTGCTTAAGCCTATTTATCAAGTGACTTGGAAAGCTGCTAGTTAGCCCAGAACAACAGAAGGCTCTGCAACAGGGTCAGGCTGCCATGCAAGCTGATCTGCCACCTGGGCCATATGATCTGGCTGATCCAATGGTGCTTGAAGTGTCTGTAGCAGATAGAGATGCTATTTGGTGTCTTTGGCAGGTCCCTATCGGTGAATTGCAATGCAGACCCTAGGGATTTTTGAGCAAAGCCCTTCCATTCTCTGCAGATAACTACTGTCCTTTTGAGAAACAGCTTTTGGCTTGTTACTGGGCTTTAGTTGAGACTGAATGCCTAACCATGGGCCACCAAGTCACCATGAGGCCTAAGCTGCCCATCATGAATTGGGTGCTGTTTGACCCACAGATTCATAAAGTTGGATGTGCACAGCAGCACTCCATCATTAAATGTAAGTGGTATATAAGAGATTGGGCTCAAGCAGGACCTGAAGGCACAAGTAAGTTGCATGAGGAAGTGGCCCAAATGTCTATGGTCTCCACCCCAGTCACATTACCTTCCCTCTCCCAGTCTGCACCTATGGCCTCATGGGGAGTTCCTTATGATCAGTTGACTGAGGAAGAGAAAACTCATGCCTGGTTTACAGATGGCTCTGTGTAATATGCAGGCACCACTCGAAAGTGGACAGCAGTGGCCCTAGGTAACCAAAACAGTTCTGCAAGGGATATAAGATAAAAGATTAATCACCTTGGAGAACAATTTTTATCAGGGGAAGCTTTGGGGTTGTTGTTGTTGTTGTCATTAGATGCCATTGAGTTGTCTCCAACTCATGGCAATCTTATGTACAACAGAGCAAAACACTGCCCAGTCCTGTGCCTTACAATCCCTGCTATACCTGAGCCCATCATTGCAGCCATTGTGTCAATCTATCTCATTGAGGGCCTTCTCCTTTTCCATTGACCCTTCACTCTACCAAGCATGATATCCTTCTCCAGAGAATGGTCCCTTCTGACAACATGACCAAATTAGGTTAGACGAATTCTGGTCATTCTCACGTCCAAGGAGCATTCCAGCTGCTCTTCCTCCAGAACAGATTTGTTAGTTCTTTCAGCATTCCACGGTACTTTCAGTATTCTTCACCAACATCATAACTCAAACGTATCAACTCCTCTTTGGTCTTCCTTATTCATTGTCCAGTGCTCATGTGCATATGAGGTGATTGAAAATACTATGGCTTGGGTTAGGAGCACCTTAGTCTTCAAGGAGATATCACTGCTTTTCAGCACTTAAAAGAAGTCTTTTGCAGCAGATTTCCCCAGTGCAATATGTCTTCTGATGTCTTGACTGCTGCTTCCATTGGTGTTAATTACAAAACGAAGTAATATGAAGGCTTTGACAACTACAATCTTTCTACCATTTATCACAATGCTGCTTATTGGTCCAGTTGTGAGGATTTTTGTTTTCTTTATACTGAGGTGTAATCCATACTGCAGACTATAGTCTTCAATCTTCATCAGTAAGCCATTCTCACTTTCAGCAAGCAAAGTTGTGTCATCTGCATATCACAGGCTGTTAATGAGACTTCCTCCAATCTAGATGCCACATTCTTCTTCATATAGTCCAGCTTCTTGGATTATTTGCTCAGCATACAGACTGAATAAGTACCGTGAAAAGATACAACCTTGAAACACTCCCTTCCTACTTTTAAACCATGCAGTATCCCCTTGCTGTACTCAAACGACAGCCTCCTGGTCCTCAAGAGTACAATTAAGTGTTCTGGAATTCCTATTCTTCTCAATGTTAACCATAATTTGTTACGATCCACACAATCAAATGCTTTTGCATAGTCAATAATATTACACAAGTAAATATCTTTCCAGTATTCTTTGCTTTCAGCCAACATCAATCTGACATTAGCTATGATATTTCTCATTCCACATCCTTTTGTAAATCCAGCTTACATTTCTGGAAGTTCTCTGTCAATATACTGCTGCAACCATTTTTGAATTATCTTCAGTAAGATTTCACTTGCATGTGATAATATCATTATGATATTGTTTGATAATTTCCACATTCTGTGGGATCACTTTTCTATGGAATGGGTATAAACATGGATCTCTTCCATTCAGTTGGCCAGGTAGCTGTCTTCCAAATCTCTTGGCATAGCTGAGTGAGGTCTTCAAGAGCAACATCCATTTGTTGAAACATCTCAATAGGTATTCCACCAATTCCTGGAGCCTTATTCTTCACCAATTCCTTCTGTTCAGCTTTGACTTCTTCCTTCAATACCTCTGATTCTTGATCATATGCCACCTCCTGAAAATGGACGAACACCCACCAATTCTTTTTGGTACTGTGACTCTGTGTATTCCTTCCATCATCTTTTGATGTTTCCTCCATCATTCAATATTTTCCCCATAGAATCTTTCAGTATTGCAACTTGAGGCTTATATTTTTTTCTCAATTCTTTTAGCTTGAAAAATGCTGAGCATGTTTTTCCCTTTTGGTTTCCTAACTCCCAGTCTCTGAACATTTCATTATAATAATTGACTTTGTCTTCTCGATCTGCTGTTTGAAATCTTCTGTTGAGCTCTTTTATCTTCTCATTTCTTCCCTTTGTTTTAGGCACTCTCTAGTAAAGGACAAATTTCAGAGTGTCTTCGGATATCCACATTGGTCTTTTCTTCCTTTCTTGTCTTTTTAATAATGTTTTGCTTTCTTCATGGATAATGTTCTTGAGTCATCCCACAATTTCTCTGGTTTTCAGTCATTTGTGTTCAATGCATCAAATCTTTTCTTTAGATGGTCTCTAAATTCAGGAGGGTTATAATCAAGGTCATATTTTAGCTCTTGTGGACTTGTTTTAACTGTCTTCAGCTTCAACTTGAACTTGCATATGAGCTGTTGATGGTCTGTTCCGCAATCAGCTCCTGGCCTTGTTTTGGCTAAAGATATTGAGCTTTTCAATCACTTCTTGCCACAGATGTAGTCAATCTGATTCCTGTGTATTCCATCTGGCAAAGTCTATGTGTATAGCCACTGTTTGTGCTGTTCAAAAATGGTATTTGCAATGAGTAAGTTGTTGGTATTGCAAAATTCTATCATGTGATCTCCAGCTTTATTTCTATCATGAAGGCCTATTTTCCAATGACCACTGATACTTCTTTGTTCCCAACTTTGGCGTTCCAATCACCAATGATAATTAACACATCTTGATTGCATGTTTGGTCGATTTCAGACTACAGAAGTTGGTAAAAATCTTCAAAACCTCATCTTTGGCTTTGGTGGTTGGTGCATAAATTTGAATAATAGTACTTAGGAGCTCTGGTGGCACAGTGCCTAAGACATGTGACTGCTAACCAGAAGGCTGGCAGTTCAAACCTACCAGCCACTCCTCAGAAGGAAGACAAGGCAGTCTACTTCCATAGAGACAGTACTTCAGATACCAAAGGAGGGGTCACTATGAATTGGGAACCCCTCAATGCCAGTGAGTGATTTTTGTTTTAAGAGTATTAACTAGTCTTCCTTGTAGGCATATGGATATTATCCTGTCACTGACAGCACTGTACTTCAGAATAGATCTTGAAACATTCTTTGTGATGATGAATGCCATGCCATTACTCTTCAATTTTTCATTCCTGGCATATAGATCATATGACTGTCTAATTCAAAATGGCCAAAACCAGTCCATTTCTGCTCACTATTGCCTAGGATATTGATCATTATGTGCTCCATTTAATTTTTGACAACTTCCAGTTTTCCTAGACTCATACTTCATACATTCCATGTTGTGATTATTAATGGATGTTTGCAGCTGTTCTTCTCATCTTGAGATGTGCCACATAAGCAGATGGAGACTGCAAAAGCTTTACCCTATCCACATCATTAAGATCAGCTCTACTCTGAGGAGATAGCTCTTCCCCAATCATATCTTGAGTGCATTCCGACCTGAGGGGCTCATCTCCCGCCACTATTCTAGACAATGTTTCAGGGCTATTCATAAAGTTTTCCAGTAATATATCAGACAGTGTTTCACTGCTATTCATAAGGTTTTCACTGGCCAATTCTATGAGAAGCGGATAGCTTCTTACTTCTTCCAAATCTTAGTCTGGAAGCAGAAAACTGTCCACCACTGGTAATCCTGCTGGCATTTGAAACATTGGTGGCAGAGCCTCCAGCCTCACGGCAACACACAAACCACCATAGTATGACAAACTGACAGACAAGTTTCTCTCCCTTAGCTGTTCCAAACAGCTCTGCTCACTTCCTGGTCATCCCCCAGCCACTCCAAAACACCCACCTTACCCGACCTGCCCCCTGTGCTCCAAAACATCCCCCTTCCACAGCACCAGGCTCACTTACCAGGCCTGCCCCCAAGCACTTGAAAACACCTGCCCTCTGCGGCACCCAGCTTGCACCAGAGAGAAGGTCCTAAAGAAGGTGCTAGAAATAAAGTGGCAGAGAGGCATGGGGAGTCTAAACCATGTGAAGTCAACCAGAAGTATGCACAGGCCCTGATCAACCCTTACCTCATTGTCACTACCATATTCACTTTGAATTGTCGATAGATGTTCCTCGGTAATGGCTTCCTCAGCAAGTTTTCCCTGAAATGACAATGGCGAGACAGAATTAACCAACACAAGAGTGGATCAAGCCCAGATTCTGAAGCAAGCTGCCTGGGATCAAATCTTGACTCCACTGCCTACTGACTATGTGACATGGAAAGAAAGTTATGTAGCCTCAGTTTCCTCATGTAAAAAGGGGTAATAACAATGTCTACCATGGAGGGCTGTGATGAGGGCAAAATAAAGATAGACAGAAACAAAGATAGATAGATAAGACAGATACAGATGGACGGATGGATGAATATGCTTAGCACAGTACCAACACCTCCTAAATTCTCTGTGTTAGTTATTATTCTATTATTCTTGTTCTTCAGTGTAAATTGAAAGCTGCACTAAGTTTTGTTTAATAGTTTTATTGAGTTATAATTGATATAAACTACACATATTAAAGTGTGGGAGCTGTGGTGGTGTAGTGCCTAAGGCATTTGACTGCTAACCAGAAGGCTGGTGGTTCAAACCCACCAGTCCCTCCTCTGAAGGAAGATTGGGCACCCTACTTCTGTAGAGATATTGCTTCGGAAACCCAAGGAGGGGTCGCTATGAGTTGGGATTGACTCGATGGCAGTGAGTTTGGTTTTTGGTTTTATTTAAAGAGTATGTTTTGGAAAGTTTTGACTTCTGTATACATTCATGAAAACATCACCACAATCAAGATAAGGAACATATCCATCACTCCCCAAAATTTCTGTTTCTATATGTCCTTCCCTCCCACTCCTTACCACACTGACCTTCTTTTTTCACTACAGATTTGCAAAAAGGACATGGGGTGGCATCCTTTGACCTCCTCTAACTTCACAAGGGGAAGAGAGAGTCACTATCAGCAGCATCAGACTAAGGCTGATTCATATGAGGTGAAAGTCAGACATGCCACTACCCTCCAACCTTTTTACCAATTCTGACACCAGCTATCCCTCCCATGGCACCTTCTACTTCTCTGCTGGATTTGATAATTCATTTCAATGGCCACACAGAACTCAAAGACAATACTCACAATTATGGAGTTAAGCAACAGGTTACAATTAAGGTTCAGGAATGCTCAGTATATACTTCTTTGATCACGACAGCCTCCCCTCTGCCTTGCCTAAAGGCACACTTCTCTTTGGCCTTCAGCCTCTTTGCCTGGGCTCTGCCCTGCTTGAGCAAGTGTTATAAAGATATTTTAGCTCTTCCAATAGGTGCACTCTACTCTGACAGGAAGGTTCCTCCCCAAAGGCGCTCAGCTTTCTTACTTCTCCGTGGGTGAGTAAGCCCACTGCTGTGTCTCATGCCAGTTCCCTTGGTTCTGCTGCCTCTGCTGCCACCATCTCTCTGCTGTCTCTCTGCTACTGTCTCAACACAGGAATCTCAGGTCCAAGAATACAGTCCACTCCTGCCTCTTCTCTCTCTTGATGGAAACAGGATCCCCCTTTCTGCTACTGGGAAGGCTAATTTTAAGCTTAGTGAAACACTAAAATTGACCAATCTGCATATTAGGATTTCATGCACCTTATTTGAATCATCCCACCCCCACAAGTGTGCCATGTACCTTATTTACATTACTAACAAGCTATACTGTGGGGCCTGAAAGATCTTTTAACCAGAAGCCTTTAGTATGGAGATTGACACGTCCCATGCTGAGCCCTAATACCTCCAGGTAGATCTTTTAACCAGAAGCCTTTAGTATGGAGATTGACACATCCCATGCTGAGCCCTAATAGAGATTAAAACGTCCCATGCCTCAGAGCCTTTTATCAGAAATCTGCATGGCTCCAAAAAGCCTCTCGCCCACCTTTGAAGACTCCGAAGGCTCTTACCTCCCAGATTTCGGATTTCGCAGGGGGTATGCACATATCAAAGAGATCCTCCCGGGCCCCAGAAAAATCTCTCACTCACCTTTGAAACCGGGAGTTTCCAACCCACCCCCAAATTCCCAAACCCCTGTCCTATAAACCAAATTATCTACTCCACCCCATATTCTTCTATAAATTTGTTTTAAAGTAAGAGCACGAGGTCTTTTGCTCAAGCCACTGATTTGGTGAGAGCAAGGACCCTAACTTAAGTTAGCTAATAAACTTTCCTATTGCTTTTGCATTGTCGTGTGTTGGCAAATTCCTCGCGCCGAACAACTCCTTCATAACCTGGGTGCAACAATACAATCCCCTCGGTGGGCCACAAAGCACCTCATGTTTACTTAGTTCCACACAGTGATCTGGTGGAATTCACAAAGACCATGGCTAGAAGAGCCATATTAAGTAATTCGCCACCCCATAGGCCAACCCCTGGCTCTTCTAGCCATTAGCCCTTTCATACTTGAAAGATTAACTTTCCCCTTCCAATCATATTTAGTATAACATCCATGAAAGTGGATGCCTTTATCTTCATGCCTTTATCTCTTCCCATTTTAAATAGCCAATTTCTAAATTGCCCATACCTATCAAACCAGTACTCTGAGGAGACAAGCATGTTCCTTTCTCTGAAGAATCTTCTGTTCCAGTTGGAACTTTGAGCCTTTGTATCCATAAGCAAAGTCCTATCCACACCTGCTCACAGTGTCACACATCCTTCTCTTCATTCAGTTGGGTTCTGATCACCTTAGCCCTAGTCAGCCAAGCTAGGTGATGAGTACTAGCTGCAAGCTTGGTAGTTCACACATCTTCCTTCACTTCAGACCAGCCCCCTTCTCTCTCTCATCCCAAGCCCCCAAGACTTATGTCAATGCCACAGGCTCAGGAGTCCACATAACTGCCTGCACTCAAGACCAGCCAAGCCTTCCTCTCATCCACAGCCTTTGTGTGCTAGATTAACAGGTGCCAAATTTAGTGCATTTCTTCATTGCTGCATCTCCCACACTCCCACTCAAGTGGATCCAGGTGGTCACCATAAGTGAAAGTATACCAGCTGTCTACTCACTGGCTTCCTTTAACTTCCAATCCTGGAAGGAGTTCTAAGGGACACTGCATTTTTCCTGCCTGAATATACCCAAAGCCAAATCACTTGCTCAAAATTCAAAGAGCAAAAAAGCCTTTTTTTTTTTTGTTGTTGTTGTTGTTCTAAAGATCTTCTTAGAATGTGTAGTTCATCTGTTCTATCAGCAGTTCAGAATGGGTCTGCATGCCTTTTCAAGTACAATTTTCCTGAATCTGAATGTTCTGGGTGGGGCTCAAATTTTCCATCTAAACCCCCAATACTCTATATACAGGGCTTAAAACAAAAAACTGGTGGTTCTTCCAGGCAAATTCTAGTTTCCCTTTTAGCATATACAATCAAGTACTAGCTGCAGGTGGCAGAGTTATATACTCTCTGTTATCTACATTCAATACTCATTTCTAACTCAAAATTAGGTAAGAGAAATATTCAATATCCAAAGGACACTTAGAAAAATACATAAACAAAAACAACCCTTTTTAAAACATTCCAGTTTCATCTTTCCACACATTAACTATCTTCCCATTGTATGCATATGGCCCTGAGCCTCTGGCTAGATGGAACCAGAACCCTGACTCTCCTATTAATTATCTCTTTAATTGGTCTGGTTCTTGCCCTAGGCCATTGCAAATGCAGCTTCTCCCTCTTTAGCTGCAGCATCCCTTAAATTCCCTTCAGCCATTGTAGCTAACCACAACCAAAGTAACCATCTAACAATCAATAGTTTCACTTTCCATGCCACTTCCTTCTTTCTCTTAAAAAGTCCCATGCTTCCATGAGTCTGGAGCCATTGCAATGAATCCAAAGGTCGGAGTGTAGTGGCATGTTTGACCTCTGTTTCACAGGGATCAGCTTTGGGATGATGTTGCTGCTGATGATTTCTGCCTCCCCTTCATGAAGTTAGAGGAGGTCAGAGGATGCTGCCCCTAAATCATTTTGCAAGAACAGTTTGTATTTTCTGGAATTTTACATAAATAGTATCTTACAGTATATACTCTCTTTTGTTTGGCTTCTTTCAATATAATTATTTTGCCATTCATCCATGTTGTTGCAACTATCAACAGTCCATTCCTTATACTTGCTGCATAGTCTTCCATGCTACGGATGTACCACACTTTCTCCATATCTTCACCAATCCTTGGAATGCTCAATCTTTTTATTGGGAACATTCTGATAGATGGGTAACTGTACCCAATTGTGGTTTCAATTTGTATTTCCCTGATGACTAAGGAGGCTGAGCACTATTTCATATTATATACTGTCTTTTAGAAAGTATTCAAACTTTTGTCCATTTATATTAGGTTATTTTGTATTATTCTGCTTTGAGAATTTTTTTTTTAAATGTATTCTGCACTGGGCAATCTACTTCCATAAAGACACCACTTCAGAAACCCAAGGAAGGGTGGCCATGAGACAAAACCAACTTAATGGCAGTGAGTTTGGTTTGGTTTATTTTGAAACAAATCCATTATCAGATATATAACATTCAAACGTTTGCTCCTACTCTGTGCCTTGCCTTTTCATTCTGTTAACAGTGTCTTTCAAAAAGAATTTTTTTAATTTTGATGATGTCTAATTTATCAACGTATTTATTTTTAAACTTTTATTGTGGTGAAAACATACACAACATATTCACCAAGATAATAACTCCATTTTCAGCTAAGGGACACTAATGGCATTTTTCATGTTGTGCCACCATTGTTGCTATCCTTTTCCAAAATAGTCTACCACCATTAGCATAAACTCAATGCCCTGCAAACAGAAGCTTCCATTTTCCCCCTCCCTCCAACCCCTGGTAACCACAATAAACTTTGATTACTCTCTCTCTCTCTCTCTATCTCTCCCTCTCTCTCTCTCCCTCTCTCTCTCTATATATATATCACCCCCTCAACTTAAGAATTTTCCCTCCCATCCTTCCCATCCCTGGTAATGGACAAAGTTTCCTTTCATATATAAATCTTTCCATGACTTTTTACAATAGCAGACTAATACAATATTTATCCCTCTGTGACTAACTCATTTCACTCAAACTAATGTCCTCCAAGTTTATCCACATTAGGCAGTATTTTGCAGAT